TCAAAAAATGGTACATTTTTGACGACCCAACTTTATTGTGGATATTTCCAATTAATTTTTTTTATAAATGCAACTTTGCACTATTTTATATTTTGTTCATTTATAACCACGGTTGCCACTTGAAAATTTTTTTCTGTACCAAAATTGGTTTAAAAAGGTACCATTTCTGTAAAAAAAGGTCCAAAATTTTTCTATTGTCTTTTTTAGAAAGAAAATACAATTTATATAAAATGTACAAGAAGTATAAAACAATACAATATCCACAATAAAGTTGGGTCGCCGAAAATGTACCATTTTTTGAACATGAGTACCAGAGTACCAAACGGAAAAAAAAGTACCAATTTTGGTACTAAAGTACCATAAGTGGCAACCGTGTTTATAACACTATAAAAAAACACAGAACGAGAAAACAGAAAGGTCCAAAAAAATTTTGGACCTTTTTTTACAGAAATGGTACCTTCTTAAACCAATTTTGGTACAGAAAAAAATTTTCAAGTGGCAACCGTGCCTACAAATATATTATTAAAACATAATCTCTTTATATAATGTGTATTTCAGCCAAATAAAAACTGCTATAGATAAATCGCAAAATTTTCTAACATAGCCTTCTTTTGAAATAATCCAGGTTAAGGTCAGAAGTACCGCAAAGAATTATATTTAGGAATATTGATATATACTCACACACATAATAAATTGATAAATGTAGAATGTCTTATAAATTGCTTTTATATACATATAATATAAGGAAATGAATTAGAACGGATTGTAGCGAGTTTAGTAATTCGCCTTTCTCAGGCAACTGAAAGGAACACAATAGACAAATATATGTCTCTAAAAGGAAGTTATGACTGTGATATCAACAGGCGTTCTATCAACTTAAACTAACCTTCACTTGTTTCTTACATATTCTGACTGATCCATTTTAAAACAAGAAATCATACTAGATCACTGTAGCACTTGCCTTCTGACTTAGTCTTTTTCTTAATTAATAAGCGCGATATTTTCATTTTCACACAAAGTTTATTCCATCAAACCATATTAGGAGTGATTTTCTTATTTAGTTTTTTCCTGATAAGTTGTGATTACTCTGTGTTCTGTCGGCAGACTTTCTCATACTAGGACTTTGTATCTTCACGTGTTGTATGATGGTATTGACACTCACCATATACTGTTATGCCATATTCTGTACGTCACATCACAAACACTAATGCTTTAATCAAAATATTAATACACAATAATGTATATGACAATCATGCTACCAACAATTTTTAAAAATTCAACAAAAGACTTTCGCATTAAAAATATAAGCTCAATGTCCTTTTATTTATTATTAAAAAATTATATATCGCATTCGGAAAATTATTTATTTTTAAATTAAAAAAAACTTTTATTTAATTTAATAACGACGAAGTGTTACAATACATTTCTTTTTATAATTTTAAAACGTTAGTCTGCAATTTTTTCTGACAATAACAAACATTATTGTGATAAAATTTGAAATATATGAAACATTTATTAAAAATGCTTCAAATTGAATAATCACAGAACAATTTACATGAAAAAAAATGATTTTTTATTAACAAAAAAGGAATATTCCAACATGTTGATTTCAGCCAATATTGTTTTTTAGTCTGAACAAAAAATGCTTTCAACGAAAAACTAATAAAAAGCGTAGAATAGCAACATCTGGGCCTGATTTTCATTCAAGGAAACTGTGAAAAAATATGTAAACTAATCGTTTCACCATAAAACAATTGCAAAACAAAAATATAAATGCAATTTTTTACAACTCCCTTTATCCGCTGATATGGACATCTGTATATAGAAATATATTTCCGTATATATATACGTATATATTTTTGAATTACATCAATAGAATGTATTGAACGCGCGAATTTAAAGGTAAAAACACATAAAGTATCTCATAAAAATATTGATTCGTGCTGTGAATATCTACACTTTTGACAATGACATCTTTGTTGAAACGGATTTTGTACGCAATCCTGCTCTTAAATGAAAAAAAAAATATTTAAAAAAGAGACTACTTTTTTGGAATATTTCAATCATTCATCGGGAATTAGTTTATTGTCCGTTTTTATTATTTTGTTATTTTTGTCGCACTCTTGACATCACTTTAAAACGCAGTTCTTTATTTAAAAATATTAACATGTAAAATATACACTAGTAGCTTCAGTTTTATAAAATATTGTTTTATTAGCATATTGTATAATAAAAAAGTCATTTGATATAAAAAGAATAATGGCGATGATCATCAACAAGGACTTAAATTTCAAATTTTTTATGTAGCTCAGTATTTCTAAAACGCTAATACCACATTGTTTGGAATTAATGAATAAAATATAAAAAATTGCAACAATCAAAATTTATATGGTCGTCCTTAAAGGAGACCCTATCAAATGCAACTCTGACAGCAATTAAACCAATCCCTCATTGATTTTGCAATCAATCAGACCTTCATAAAAGTCTTACGCTGGTTAAAGTAAGTCCTTCAATTGTTTCAGCGAATTTTCCCTAATTACAGCAATTGATCTGAGTAATTACAGAATAATGCATACAGAATAATGCGGTAATAATTACAGAAATAGAAAGAAATTCTAACAGGTCGTATTGGATAAGTACGGTAAGGGCGGTGCTTGATCGGCCAGTTTTACAGAGATTTTTTGTAAAGAAGTTTGCACCACAAGCTCTGTGCATCGTTTTGTGCTGCCGCAGAACACTTAAAAGTAGAATTATAATTAATTATAATGAAATATTAGAATTAAAAGTATACATATGATCATATGACGAACGGTTACGGTTGTTTTGCGCTATTTCTAGTCATAACTATAACGATATTTATATAGGTAGTCAATTCACAATTATCAGCTGTAAACAATAACTACTATTTCTATATTTTTTGTTGTATTTAAATTTAAGAAGTAATAAATTTGTTTTAAAATATCGTAAATTTTGACATGTATCAGTTTACAACAACACATATAATATTAGTTTTGATTAATGTGACGAAGTTCACGAAGACTCGCCGTCTTGCCCAAAGTATAATCAATTTTTCTCTCTTACTCTCAATGTCAAAATTTTCATTTACATTAAAAACAGCAACAGTTTTATATTTGACGTGACCATGACTATCTACATGCCCCTAACAAATCACACTCATGTGTCACATCATAACATAATACAAAGTTACTAACTCACAGATAGAAACTTGTCCTCGTACCGTTTAGAAGCATTTTTCAAACTAGAAGTTCTGGGTAGTTTTTACACAGAATGTTTTTCAAGCTTAAATTAAAAAAAATAAAACAATTGTTTCTATACGAGTATTTGGATTTAAGCACCATATTAATAATAATATTATAACAATTAATTATAAAAAAAAATATTAAATGCGAGAGTAGTTACACTCAACTAAGTAAAAAATTATACAAATTTTCTTAATTGTCAATAAAATAATTACAGAGTAATATAAACAAAATTTGGAAGTACAACTGACCTACGCAATAAATAAAAATAGTTTTTAAATATATTTGACCAAATACATCCGTTTAAGACTAGAACATACTAAATTAACCCACTCACACTTATTCAATAGATTACCACAACACTCTTGTTTGTTCTACAGAATTCCATATTCAATGCAACACATTCTTATCGACTGTCCACATTTTTCGAAACACAGGAACATCATATTCGGAAACAAAAACCCAATTGACCTATTAGCTGATGATGATTATTTTTAATTAGTTGATTTAATATCACTTAAATATCACTCGCATACAAAATAAAAAAAAAGCATATAATCACTTTATTTCTTTTACCTTTAATCTCCCATAAAAAATAAAAACAATAATAATAAGGAAATAAAACGACTCACCCATACGGAAGAATCTAGAGTACTCTAGATTCTTTGTCCAAACTCTAATCATGCTTTCATCGTAGCTCCTTAAGAGGAATATATTTCTTTTTTCTACGAATTGGTAAGCTTAAGGTGATGTTGCTATAACTTCTATAATTTAAGTAAGATGTGATTTATATTTACTTTGTTAATAATAACATTAACTTCAAACAAGACATTAGGTACTGCAACTGCAAATTTTTTCGGTCAATCAAGCCATCTATTTGGTTTTATATCAACGTCTAACCTCAGCAAGTAGCTGACCAATCCTTCATAGAAAATTATTTTACGACGACCACAAGCAATTATATGAAAATAATATCAAATTTTCATTTTTAATTTTAACTTTTTTTTTTATTATATTATATTTTAAAAACCGTTCTTTATATTATTACCATTTATATATTGTCGCATTGGGTGTTTATATCAGTCCAACACTATCGATTCATAATAACTAATTTCATACTAAGTATACTTAGAAATATAGGCACATTTATAAAAAACCTTTGAAATATTATTGCTAAATACTTTTACTTTAATTATAAAATATAGTAACATCTTTCTATAAAGTAGTTGCAATTCATATATATAGGAGTATATATACTATATATATATAAAAAACCAATACTTTATATGAGTTCAAGATTTTTTGATCATTGTTTCTCAGGCAACAAGAAGGATCAAAATTGGAATCGTAACCAATACAGAACACTTTTCTTCTGGGATCAGAATAGAAACAGAAGACGCAATTATGTGGAGTCAATGCAAGCAGAATCACAAAGTGGTACTCTACAGATTAATTAAAATCACTTTTCGGCAACCACATAAACCAATTCATCTAATTTTTTTGTTTTAAATAAATTAATAAATTCTTAAAAATCATAATAATAAACATAAGTAATTATAAAATTGTTAACTAAGCTAATGAATGTCTATGATAATTGTTTAATTGTAAGTTAGTCACGAGAGATAATGAATGTCTTACAGCAGGCCTCAGCTCACAAATGCTTTTAAGAACTATTTTCTGCATAGTATATATTTAATAATTATTTAATTGCAATAATTGTTGCTTTTATATTTTATATAGAAACTCCACTATGGCTATTATTACAAGTTGCTCCTATACGGAACGAAAGAGATTTGGTTGTGTTATTTTTGTTAACATTTCGAGATATCACCGCCTTAAAACAGCCAATCGACAGCGAAGATACAAAGGGTGGTAAGTACTTTTACTTTTAAAGTTATTTTTTTTTTGTATTAAATCTTTCATTGTACATACTAACTTTTTGTGATTTTAATACTAAAAGAAATATTAAATACACTTGTCGTAAGAAATGTTCATAAATATTGCATTAAGCCATTTAAGTCATAGCCATTAAGCCATAGTAAGATGCAAAACAATTTTCAGGGAACATCACATAATTTATTGTATATATAATATTACAATGAAGGTGAAAGGTAATGATATGGAAATATATGCAAAATTAAGCAGATTTAATGTATTTGAAGCATAAGTATGATTTTGCATAAATAGATTATAAGATAAAAAAGCTTGAATTATTCAATGCAGGTGATTTTAGGTATTTCCAGCAGAACTGATTTTAATCCAGCACACTGTTCTGTTGTCTTAGATATTCTTTTATATTTTTAGGATGAAATATATTTGAAGTTTAATTTCATATGGAGTAAATATGTAAGATTTGCTGAAACCAAGCCTCTGACTAGTTCTTAAAATAAATTATATGACATTTTAAACACTAGAACCACATAAATATCAAAATCACCTCATATCCCCAGTAAGAAACTAATAATTGATATTAAGTCGAATAAATATAAAATAGAGAGAGGAATGGTGATTTACATTTAAATAAACTAATTTACTATTCCTGATCTTAAGAATAATAGCACAATTCAATAAATTTTAAAGAAATGCATTCATCAAATTAATTTGAAAAATTATTGTTAAGCTTACTTTTGAAATGCCGACATAGCTTATTTCCTGATGTATCGAGATTTAGGTATATGGCTGAAGAATTTAAGTCAATGGTTTAATAAAAGCACAAACTCACTTTTTTGTGAGGCTGTAGATAAAGTCAAAATAGCAATCATGTTAGCCAACGTTCGAAGCGGACAAGGTACCTAAAATAAGAAAGATCGAGATTTAAGGTTGTAAGTTTTTAATACTGATTGCCCTATCAACATGGCAGTTCTAACATAGATTATCCAAACAACGGGTAACAACAAGAAACGTCTACTCGTTGTTGTTAATTTTTATGTAGAAATTTTCCACTTTAAAGCTAAGTATTAGGGTATTAGGCCCGATTCTGTATCTACTATACACTACAGACATTCCTAAGCCAAAAAGTGAAGAAATACTAACTGTAACGTTTGCTGACGACACTGGACTTTTGTCAACAAACCATGACATCACAAAAGCAACTGCAAATCTTCAAAATCATTTGAACGAAGTGATGTATTGATCTGACACCTGGGGATAAACGCCAAAAAACTGTCCAAGTTATTTTCACCGACAGGACATTTGAAGAACAGAAACTGAAAATTGTTAACATTGACATATCAATTTGCAAAAAAGTCAAATATTTGGGCATGCTATTAGACCAAAAGCTGACTTGAAGGGAGCACATATTGTAGAAGAAAAAGAAAGCTCTTTGAAGATTTGTAGATCTATATTAGCTTCTTGGTGAAAATTGAATTTAAGGTGACTCAAAGGAAAATCTTGTTCAAAATAGTTTGCATTATTAAAATCATACAACAAGTGGGCGTGTCCACATATCGGCATCATGCCAAAAAACTGCACTAACGTGCTATGTTTATATCTGTGTCAAATAATATTTATGGCTATACGATCACCTACCTCTAAATGTAATATTTGTATCTTGTTGAGTATTGGCGATATCACAGACTTTGTTGTAAAAAAACTGAAAGTTCTAAATAATCTTGACAAGTGTTTTTAATATTTCTACTAGAATGTGTATTTGTATTTTATGTGTCATTTTTACAACTTATTGCCGTTTTTTTTTTTAAGAAACTATACTGCATGAAATATGTTTACAGAACAACACTTCACACATGATTAATTGTCAACACTAAAATTTTTGCAATATTTCACTCAATATGATTGCTCAAATATAACTTTATTGATATTTACACAAAAGAGTAGTACTTTAACACTATTTTAATCTCAATTCAAACACTTTGCATAAAATAACTTTCATTAAAAGTTCACAAACTAAAACTAAAATGAACTAAGAATTTAATAAATAATTTTTAAAAAAATTATCAACAAAAAAAATAATTTTTCAGCAAATTTACTGTTGTGTCGTGTGTGTTTGTTGTGTTTAATTTGAAACTTTGATATTTACTCTCAAGTTTTAGGTTTATCGAAATTTGCCAAGTTGGCACGTTCGGTTACTCGAAGTCGTCAATTCAGCGCACATCTGCCCACGCTAAAGGATCCAACGAAGCAATCGAATCTGGCGCATGTAAGTCGACAATATAAATCGTTTATTGTATGTCACATATAATTGTATAATTTTCACATTAAATTTTAATTCATTTGAAAATATTTGTATTTCAAGTAATAATGTAATTATAGACTGACTGACAGACACTTCATTTGATTTTTGCAGATGATGTCACTAAGCGCCGATATTATGCCACAATATAGACAGGAAGCGCCGAAAACGCCACCACATATTCTTTTGCATTATTGTGCATTCAAAGCAATTTGGGATTGGGTGATATTGTGTTTAACATTTTATACCGCCATTATGGTAAGTCAAGTGTCAATCTGTGTGAGTGTGTGTGTGTGTGTATATGTCAGTATGCTGGTGTAAATGGGACTGAGAGTAAATGTTTGTATAAATATGCAGCACTAATGTTTTGTTAAATAAATGTGCGTGCATGTGAAAAAGCGTATGTGTGTATGTGTGTGGGTATGCATGGTATGTTGTCCTTTATCTATTACAGTTCATGCACGAGTGCTTCAGTTAAATAGAAAGCAAGTGTGTGTGTGTGCATATTAATGATTCGCAAATTGTTTGCCAATGGCAGATACGAGCACAGCTTTTGCCAAATAATAAAATAAAGTACTTATAAAATCATATGAAATTATTTTTGAACATAAAATATAATAATATTAAATGATTTTGTAGTGTAATAACTATTATAAAGGCTTATATAGAATATGAAAAAAAATTACTCTTAAAATATTCGAACGGGGATAGAAAAAGCTTGCAAAATGTGGGCACAGCTTAGAAACATAATTGGTAATAAATTAGGAAGTATTATTTTGTGCGCAGAAAAAGTCCTGAAAACCCGCAGGAAGAAGAAACCATAAAATATTTTCTCTGTGAATCCCCGGCTTTAGCATCCAAAAGATATAGATTCTTAGAAAAAATCTACTCCTTTGATAGTTTATCAGACTGTTCATCAGTGAAGACGAAAGATCTATTAAATTACCTAAATTCGACGGGATGGATTTAGTCTCTACTCTTCTGTAGTATTGTTCTTGCGAGGAATGTGGTAGCAACACGGCGAAAAATTGCTAATTGAGGTATATGAAAGTTATCTAATGACCACTACAACCAACTTACCATTATTTTGTGGAATTTTGACAGTTATGGATTGTACAAAGGTTTGATTTCGACTAAACAATGTTCAAGTGTTTGACTATTGATGTAACAAACATCATTGAAGCTTTAATAGTGAACATATTTGATTTCAACTAAGCCTTGTTCAGTTTGTTATTGACTATTGATGTAATAAACAACATTTTACACTCTAATAAAGAATATATTGATAGTCTATATATATTTTTAATTCTCTTATTAAAAACAAGGAGTTGTAATATTTTTAAAATTACGTACTAACAGCTATGAGTTAATATATTTTTAATATTAACAATTGCATAGAACTTCATTAGTAATATGTCTTAAATATGTCACTGATAATATCTCTTACCAATAAAAATCAGTTTAATATTTTTAATATTAACAACTGCATATTACTTCATCCATATGTTACAAATGCTGTAATAGTCTTTCCACATTGCTCGAGGTATAAATTAATATAAATTTCTTTTAAGGCATTGGTTCCCAACCTTTACTTAACCAAGGACCACTTTACTTACAATAGGGACCACAAAGTTTAAGAATAATAAACTGCATGATTATTTCAATATGATTTATGCAGGCTTATTGCGGTTCTTACTGGTCATTGGTGGTTAGGAACTCACGCAGAGAAACTGCGTATTCCCCATAACTCTCACTGCAGAAGTTGTGGAAACCCGCGGGAGAAAGAAACAATAATACATTTTCTCTGTGAATGCCCAGCTCTAGCATCCAGAAGATATAGGTTCTTAGGAAAATATTTTTGTGATAGTCTATCAGACTGCTCAATGGTAAGGATGAAAGACCTGTTAAATTACCTAAATTCGGTGGGATGGATTTAGTCTCTACTCTTCTATACTAGGGTTCTTGCGAGGAATGTGGTAACAAAACGGCGAAAAATCGCTAATTGAGGTACATTTGAAGTTATCTTATGACCTGCCACTGCAACCAACCAACCAACCATGCATCTCTGAAATAATGTATTCGTTATATATATTATATATTGTATAAGTTCATGTATATAGGGTGTAAAATGGGTATATTATTACTTGAACATTTTTTATGCCAAAACTTGTATCTACCACTTCAATCAGAGTCGAATCGCCAGTCAGCTAAGCAAACTACTACCGGCAAACCTCACCTAAAGCAGCAAAAAGCTTAACAGATACTAGTCAAGGTTATGGGGTTCGTACTTTAGGAAGAGTGTCGCTTTTTTTTCATTACCTACTTTGTAAAAGGGCTGACCATCAATAGCGATCATTTGATGACCCAACTTGTCATGAAGGAGGAAATCGCGAAACAATGGCCTCATAAGAAGAAGCAAAAAGTCCTCATTCACCAAAGCAATGCGTCGTATCACGAATAGTAGTCAAGGTACTAGGGCCAAATATTATGAATAATACTTCGAATAGTTTTTGCACTCATCGTATTCACCAGATTTAGACCTCAGGAATTAATACCTGTCTACAGATTCCATAAAAATGCTTCAGTGGAAACAATATGGTTTCGATAAAAAAATCATCATCGAAACTAAGACATATTTATAGACAAGATGAATAATTCTACAGAAGAGGTGTTAAAATGTTAAAAAAGCACTGGAGTGATTATATCACTCTTAAATGAGACTACGTTGATAAATCAAATTTTGCTAAAAAGTTGTTGGTTTATTGGTTATTCTACAACTCTATTACTGTTTCAATTTTTCTTTATTAAAGCTATGCCTATTTTAACTTCACAATTTCAACTATTTGTAATTTATTGAATTATTCCTAGTTATGCTAGGGTGGTCCAGCCTTCTTCATGTTATACCATTATGCAAGAGGCTGTTTAGCTCCACTAACGTCTGTTAACGAAATCACGTTTGAATATGACAGAAAGAAAGTTTTATTTAGTTTTTCCGATTTTAGTAGTTGTGAATTGTTAATAATAGTAAACATATTGGATAAAAGAGTACCAATATATGGTATATATATACCATATGTACCCAAAATTCGTCAATTTTGGGTTAATGTATGGAACTTGCTAATAGTTTACCTGTCTACTAACACGCAAAATTCAACTTTGTTTTTATTATTGCAAATTGTCTAAAAAAAACGGTTATATCTCTTTTGTTGTTAGGAATGACATTGCACTGCAAAACATTTTTTGCGTTTTCTGAAAATTGACTCCAGTTGGCCCTCTTTTGAAGCGGGCGTGCGATATATTAAATTTGTCTTCGTCAATAAAATATCATGAAATGTAGAAGCAACATAGTTTGTAAACATGTTTTAGCCATCCAGTGTGAAGGGTGTCTCACTTGATAAAAATTAATGTACCTATGCTTTCTCTAAATTATTCAAATTGGATATCGTGTGATATGTGGACTGTAAGTTGAGGAATACGAATATAGCTCAATTGAATTTTCAGTAAATCGTTCCTGGATGTGTCGGTGAAGTATACCAACACAAATCTTTGCCTGCAATAATTTCTGTTTTTCTAATGATTTACATTTATTTGTTAACGTCATTTTCCTAAATTCCAGTTTGTAAGATTGACTACTTTTTATTTAACCGTTTACAAGTACCCCACTACTCGTAGTACGTATAAGTTATAATAACTGAAATTCCGTTTTTGCAAAATATCATTGCAAAGAAAATAGCTCAGATAATTGATCCTTAAAGAAACCATCTGCAATGTAAATATAATAATTCAAATAATCCTTAGCTTTATAGTCACCTACTCAGCGCTTGAGTTGAAGTATTTCAAAAATTGTAATCAATACACTTAATACGCTATATAAATAACAACTTCACTTATAAGCTTATATCGCATCTTTCTCGCTTTGATGTAGCTTTATTTGTAATTTCGAAAAGTGTATCAAGCTGACATCCTAAAGATGCAAACAAACAAGAAAATATCTCAAAAATGTTATTGCTGTATTTTTGCCAACAAGTTGTTCAGCAGATCTCAAATGCACTTTACAAATGGCGCAATTACAAGTCAAGCAATCAGATAATATATGCAGGAGCATGTAACTGAGATACATGAGACTACACCGCAATCAAGTGTATCCATATCTGTGCGGCTGTGTATGCGTGTTCAGTGAAAGATATACTTATATGTGAAAGTGAAGGATGTAACAGTACACATGTTAGTCACTTTTATGGAAGATGTAAAGGAAACGTTTTTTGTTGTTCAATTTATATAGCAATTTGCTTGTATGTTATGAATTTGCTGGTATAAAAGGCAGACGGCTCAGCAGCAACAGGAATCAGTACGAGAATATCGTAAACAACAAATCGAGCAAAAATGCAAAACACCTACACCTACACTTACAATAACAATAACAACAATAACAACAATTCATAGCAATTATATTCAATCTGTTGCAGCCCCTGTTATTAACATAAAAAAGGGGTGTCGACTGCAAATGATGTTTATGATTTTGTTAAGTGGTTGTTGTGTTCTGTTGTGTTGTGTTCATTATTGTGTTCATCCTTCATATGCAATATAATATGTTATATTAAACTATTACACACACAAATACATATATTAGAATTACTGAGTATCTGTGTTAGAGTAATGAATAAATAAATATTAAACAGTTTCCATATTGATTCGAAGAAAATGCTAGCATTTTATGTTGGAAAGAATTTCTTGGCAAGCTCAAAAGCTTCATGATTCTATACATATTATGAGTAATGCAATAATTTTTAATTGAACTTTGCTGACACAAATTGGCTTAGAATAACGCTTACGTCAATAGTAAATTATTTAAGAAAAACCATTAAGAGTACTAAATATATATTCTAATAAAATGAAGTTTTTTAATAATTGCGTCAGCAAATTTTATTCGTTTTATATTTGTAAAAATTTTTATTATCATTGCTTCTCCTTGAAGTCATTACAATATATTTTCGTTTGTCGGAGTAATTAAAAATTTTCTATATTTATGGGGTATAGAGGGTATTTTAAAAGTAAAGAAATGACCAAGGGCAATCAACTAAATAATATAAATATAATATAATAACTAAATATATCGTCTTTGATAAATAGATATTTTATTTAATATAAATATTAAATTCCATGAAAATTGAAAGGACCTCTATAAATACGAAACGAAAGCAAAAATAAATTATATATTAAAATTGTATCAATTTTAATATGTATATAAATTGTAACAATTTTTTTGTATCAAAAAATATTTTTTTATTTATTTTATTAATTGAATTTTTGGGTGACCATACAGCTGGTATTGCGAAATACCCATCATCACCCAACTATCGTACATTATCAACAGATTTTTGTAGTAAATAAATTAAAAAAATAAACTATAATTGCTTTTCTACATTTAAGAACCTAACATGGCATGGATTTAAGAACCGTCTGCATTTTTTAGTTTTATTAAGAAAAAAATTAGTTCAATAAGATGTACATCGATGGAATTTGCACTAATACTAGACCAGTTTGCTTCATCTTCAACTCTCGATAATACAAAAATAGTTTTTCACTTTTTAATACTCCTCTTAAAGGATTATTATGATCATGTATAAAAATAAATAAATTGTTATAATACGGTGTTCTTCTTCTTCTAGGCGCCTTGTCCGCTTCAAACGTTGGCTAACATGATTGCTATTTTGACTTTATCTACACCCTCTCAAAAAAGTGATCTTGTACTTTTATTAAACCATTGACGTAAATTCTTCAGCCATGATGTTTTTCATCTTTCAGGGTCACGTCTGCCTTCAATGATTAATTTTAGTAGTCTGTACTTTTCCGGATGCCTCAGAATATGACCAAAAAACTCTAACGTACGACGTTTTACTGTCTTTAATATTTCTGTCTCTTTGTTGACACGCCGAAATACCACTGTATTTGTAAGTTTTTCTGTCCAGCTTATTTTCAGCATACATCGATAGCACCACATTTCAAAAGCCTCGAGTTTATTCATCGATGCAACAGACAGCGTCCACGCGTCTGTGCCGTAGAGGAGTATAGAGAATATATAGCATCGCAGCATTCTTATTCAGAGCGGTAATAACATCTCTCGTGTACACAGCAAGTTTTTCATCTTGATAAAAGAAGACCTTGCTTTTTCAATTCAGACATGTATTTCTTTACTATTTTCCCATTGCTCATTAAGCTGGCATCCCTTAATGAGTAGTAGTACTTATCGGTTCTTTTTATGGCTGAACCAAATACTATTAAACTTCCTCCGGAATTAGGTCGTTTGCTTACCATTATATATTGGGTTTTACTGCAATTTAATTTTAAGCTCTATTCTCTGCATTTTAATGCAACAGCGGCTAAAAGGTTCTGTAAGCCCTCTATTGAGTCGGCAATTAGCACTGTATCATCGCCGTACCTCAAATTGTTTATAAGTACCCCGTCAACCATTATTCCATCTTTCGCATAGTGTAGTGCTTCTTTGAAAATAGTCTGCGGGTATATATTGAACAGTAATGGTGACAGAATGCACTCTTGGCGAACCCCGCGCTTTATTTCTACTTCTTGCGTGAAGTAATTATCAAATGAAACATTTGCGTAATGTTAGAGAATTAAGACGTTAGAGAATTAAAATGACTTTTGAATTTATAAATTACATTTTAGCAAAATATTTGAGTTGTTCTTTGACTCAAAAGATTTGTTAGATTAGTACATTTATACATTTTTCCAATATAATCAATTACTCTATAAAATAACACTTTTGTTTTCTTCTTTTTGAGCAGTTTTTATTAGCAATCTTTTTCTTCGAACAAATCCATCACATATCGTGTATATAATAATCGATTATAATAATATATATAATCGATGCATAGAATACATGGCCAATTCTAGTATTTTGGAATAACTAGAATTTAGAGATCGAAAGCGTTATTATCCATCTCACAATCTTAAAATGTGATCAAGTTTTACATCACGTCACCACGTCTATTTATCTTCTGCTATAAGTATTATTTTATCACTAACATAAAGAGGCGTTTTGAAAATACCTTGAGTTAAGAAAGAGTAAAAGTGCTCAAGTGTACTGGTTCAAAGAGCTTCAACATAATAAACCTAAAATTTGAAAGAAAATTCAAAATGTCACAAAATAGTTTATTTTATACTAGCATTTAAGAAACTTTCATATATATATATATCAGCTTTTAAAGGGAAATCTGTTCTTGCCCTTATCTGTGTACGCCCATGGATACTTTATTTACATATTATAAAATATTTAATTTATATATTTATATATAGAATTTTATTTCATATTTAGCTTTAAAACCACATTTTACCTTTTTTTAGGTACCTTATAACGTAGCTTTTAAAAATAAAACATCAGAAGACGTTTCACTTCTGGTTGTCGATTCCATTGTAGATGTTATATTCTTTATCGATATTGGTAAATTCAATTAACATATAATACATATATGTTTATGTAACCTTAACAATAAATAATTATATTTTAGTATTAAATTTTCACACAACATTTGTGGGTCCAGGGGGAGAAGTAGTCAGTGATCCAAAAGTAATACGCATGAATTATCTTAAGTCATGGTTTATTATCGATTTGCTCAGTTGCCTGCCATATGATGTCTTCAATGCCTTTGATCGGGATGAGGATGGCATTGGATCATTATTTAGTGCCCTAAAAGTAGTGCGCCTCTTACGTTTGGGGCGAGTTGTACGAAAATTAGATCGCTATTTAGAATACGGCGCAGCAATGCTAATATTGCTGTTATGTTTCTATATGTTGGTAGCACATTGGTTAGCTTGTATATGGTATTCGATAGGTCGAAGTGATGCCGATAATGGGGTAAGTTCCAGATTTTAAAATATCTATATAACTCATATTTAGTTATTTATCATATATATAATGTTATAACATTTTTTTAAAAAAGATACAGTACAGTTGGCTGTGGAAGTTAGCAAATGTCACGCAATCGCCGTATTCATACATCTGGAGTAATGACACTGGACCGGAACTGATAAATGGTCCATCACGGAAGAGTATGTATGTGACGGCGCTGTATTTCACAATGACATGTATGACTTCGGTGAGTAATAGAAATTGGATTATAGTGTTTACTAAAATCAATATAGAGTAAAATTTTTAAAATAATTAAAATCCAACTTTTAACAATGTGTTCTATTATCTGCAAATCTTTTTCAGGTGGGATTTGGTAACGTCGCCGCCGAGACGGACAACGAGAAGGTGTTCACCATCTGCATGATGATAATTGCAGGTGCTGTGTCCGACACGTTCCGTTGCCACGTCAATTTCGTTATATTCGAAATTTCGCAACGTTTTATAAATGTTATTGAAAATGCAATATGCACGCATTTAATAAGAAAATTAATTCAAATTTTATTTATTTATATATTTATTTTTTTTAAATTATTACAAACAAATTTTTGCTATATTTTATAAAGTAATGTAATATTTTGTAAAAAAATTATTATCTTATTTTGAGGTGCATATTGCATTTTGTACGCCGCTAGAACTAATAAATGCTGAGTTGGTGTAGACTTATCCCTTACAATATAACACAAATCCTTGCTTTTATATAGTAACTTCCGCTTTTACGTTTGCTGAGTGTTTTTATATCTATCATAAGCTTTGTAAAGAATTAGAGCTCATATTTTTTAAGACACCACTTCATGCAAAACGTCATCTTTATTCGCAATTCCTAAAAATTTCCCTATTAACAACAAACTTTTCTATTTTTTATTTAAAAAAATTAATTCCTCAATAGTTGCAGAGTTCTTCGCTATCTGTGAGTTGAATAACATATATTTTGTAATATATCTCATCACTTAATGTTACGATTATTTAACAGACTTATGTACACAACAGTGCTTTTGATGTCTCCAGTTGATTTGAATGTTAAAAATCTTTGTCATTAAATACATTTATTTAATAAATATAAATTAAAGCAAATTTGGGTGAAGTTGGTAGCGATTTAACATTAAATTTAGATTTTGATTTTTTTTAAATTTTGTTATTATATACATAACCCCTCGAATAATCTTTGGAGTTGAATAAAATAACCTTTAGACCATGACCATATATATAATACAATACATAATTATTACAATAATACAATACAATTATTGTACTTATAATATTATTTAAAAATTTTAGGTATATAATATATACTACGTTCTAGTATATATTATACAGAGTACTCTTCCCTAAGTCAAGACAAGCAATACTCAGCCACTCAACCAGTTAAGCACTCCGTCAACTTCTTATCACTACCAAGTTTGTCTGCAAAAGTTACAATCTGGCCTTTGATTAGAGTGTTGTATTTATTGTCTAAAATATTTCAAAAGAGAAATCATTGAGTCTTTAATTGTCGAAGGATAATATAATAAAGAAAAAATTAAATTTAATACTACATTAAGACCGAAAAGCTTTCGGAAATTCTCATTTAAAATTCGCGCGCTGTATATTTTCCGATATTTTAAGTTTATGTAGTTTGGCAGCACTGTCCTTAATTACTATGCCAAAAATGAGCGCGATCTGTCAGACAGTTCGTTTACGGCAGCTGTTGAAACCAGTTCACCTCAGTAGGGCGTTGCGAAAAAAACAATGGAAAAAAATATTGAACAAAGAGTTTGCATCAAATTTTGTGTTTCGAACGAAATTTCGTGTGCAGAATCGTTGCGAATGCTACAAAAGGCTTATGGGGAATCAGTTTTATCGAAAACTCAAGTTTATGAGTGGTACAAAGCCTTCCAGGACGGTCGTACGACCGTCGAAGACATTTCGCAACGCACTACTGAGGTGAACTGGTTTCAACAGCTGCCGTAAACGAACTGTCTGACAGATCGAGCTCATTTTTGGCATAGTAATTAAGGACAGTGCTGCCAAACTACATAAACTTAAAATATCGAAAAATATACAGCGCGCGAATTTTAAATGAGAATTTCCGAAAACTTTTCAGTCTTAATGTATATAATAGATCTTATTACAAAAGAATCCGCTTTTTAAGGGCTAGATTTGCAATTTTAATATAACTCTACTTATAAAACAGTTTGTGCTTTTAATTTCACGAAAACAAGTTCTTTATAAATTTCTTCTAGGATTGCCTAAAATACAATAGTAATAGGTGTAGCAAAAAAAATTCATCATTTTTGCATAAAATTAAAGGCTTATTTGCCACAGTTACAATAATTCAACATGTACCAGATCTGTTCTATAAGGTGAATGCATAACCACATCCCAACCAAGGTTTCTGAAAAACAGATGGTTATCACTTGGTACTATGTCTAAACTATGAGGTGGATACTATGTCTTTCCAGTGCGTGATGAATCTTTGATATTGAAATTACGGGAACGGAATCGATAAAACCAATATTTCGCATAATTGGCTGTTACAGTATCAGGACTATTCTACTAATACACTATTCACATTTTCAGCCTCCTAGCTTGCGTTTATCAAAGAAAAACTGTAATACATGACGTATTTTCTTTTTGCTAGTGTCTATCTTTGACTGAATCAAACTGAATCAATCAATTACAAAACTATCTAAAGTTTTTTAAGTATGAAATCTTAACTTTCTAATGCCATCTGGCGTAACCCAATCGGACTTATACAACACGGTATACAAACAACTAAAGCCATGTATTGGGAAAATAATGCTTTTCTTTTTATTACACCTAATACATTAGCTTCTAATTAATATTTTTTTCCAATAAATAAATTAATTCTTAAATATATTTCATCATATCCGCACTTGTAGCTTGCATTCCCTCTATGTTGCCTATATATTATGTGGAACCATATACAAAAAACTGAACATTCCATTGCTCTCATAACTAGTGAAATGTGCTATTGTAAGTGTGATAAATATTTTAAATTATAAAAACAAACCGCAAATGGTTTAGTTTTGGGTTTAAGGCACTTATAACAACATATTTTGCTTTCACACCAAACAGGACAACACAAACAATAATCACGGCATTTTACAACAATTCCTGGCATTTATTACTGTTCTAGCTAGCGTTGGCTTATATACGAATACGTTAATTAGTGCAAATTACATGTAAATTTTCGAGCAGTGTTTACATATGGCACACGCCGAAAACTATGCTAAACTAAATGTAAATTACAAAATCAAAAACAAAAAAAAAATAGAAAGCTGTTTTTGTTTGTTATATAATCTACAAATTGCTAAATACTTACAATATCGCAAATATTATATATTATATATATACAGCACTCCTGTACGCCACGATATTCGGTCACGTGACTACAATCATCCAGCAAATGACCTCAGCGACGGCGAAATATCACGATATGCTGAATAATGTGCGTGAGTTCATGAAATTGCATGAGGTGCCAAAGGCGTTAAGTGAACGAGTAATGGATTATGTGGTCTCCACCTGGGCCATGACCAAAGGCTTGGACACCGAAAAGGTATGAAATATGTTTCTGATTGCATAGCAAATTAAAATAGAATTGAAAAACATTTTACACAGCGTAGCTTAAAAAATAAAACACATTTCTATTCGAAAGGGCTTTCGAAAGAAAAACACATTTTCAACATTCACAAGTAAAAAATTGCATTCTAGGCTAAACCTTGAAACCGCAAAAAGTACTGAAAGTACTGAAAAATGGTAGCAAATTAAGGCTTGTACAGTTGGTACTTTAGCGTAGCTTGAAAATCACACCAGCATTTCAAAATTCTACACACTTTTTCCTTTGAGCATTCGAACAAGTAACAAAACACAGATTTGGCTACACGATTTCATAGATTTTTAGATTTTTAGATTTTTTGGCTATTAAAACAGCGTGAAAAATAGAAAACGGCTTTTAGTGCGAGAAGCTTTTTTATTGTATTTTTTTTTTCAACCTTTAGCTGCTTTAGAAGCTTAATGAATTCTTTTTATTTTTTTTTTGTTAGTCTACTCTGTTGTAGTTGAATTATTTATTTTCAATTAAAGAAAAAAACATTTAAAATGAAAAATGAATTTTAATTCAAATTTAATTAATTTTTTTAACGTACAATACATTTGAGTGAATATTACTTTTTATTTTAAAATATTTATAACTATTTTATAAATATGCAAATACTAAAATAAAGTATTTTATATAATAAATTATGTATTTTTATATATTGATTATAAATTTCAATAATAATTTGTGTTGAAATTAATATAAATTAAATTAATTGAAAATGTTTACACTATAAATTCCGCATCAAGTGCTTTACTAATTCAATCTAGACTTACTCTCGATCTGTCAAACTATGTTGCCCAATCGAACATTTTTAAAGCAATCTAACATTATCAGGCCTTTTCTTTTGTAGGCATACCACAAAAGAACAATCGCTTATTTCAAAACTAACATATGAAACAACAACATTGTTGGCTTATTTAGTCCAACCTTTTTAAAATCGTTTAATTAATAAGCAGTTTAAATCGAATGGTTGCCAAGACTAAAAACTCGTGTATTGTGAACGAGTTTTGAAAGTACGTACAAAATTTGCAGTTAACTGTCAATAAATATTTAACAAATAAAACTCAATTCTTTTTAATTTACTGAAATTAAAAAATTATACTTAATTATTGATAAAGTCCGAAAATATGAATTGTATTCACAATCATATAAAAGATAAAATATTTTTATCCATAATTGGAGAGAATTATTGTTCATTCTTGAAACTTCAACTTTAAATTTTATTTCGTGTTTCGTATATATAAGCTTAACAAAATTTTCAGTTCTTCTAGAGTTGCCAGAGGCCTTTTGTAATAGTGTTAGTAGACATTTATATTTTTCAAATATCATATCTTAAATCAAATCAAATTAAATCAAATGTTTCAGGGTAATCTCGTTACTCTGGCAAAGTTATTAAAAAATTGTGACTTGTAAACGCATTTACTGCAACCTCTCTTGCTTGAAATCAGAGAGGAAGTTAAAAGTGTTGCAATGAATTTCAAGAGCGTGTACAGTATGATCCATTCCAACGATCTTGCTTTAAGTTTGATACCGTCCTAAATATCTCTGTAATACTGAAACGAGAAATACTACCTTAGCCAGAATAAAAGCATTCAGAATTTTAAAATAATATTTTAAACTTTTTATAGTAAATTTTATTTTTATTTAATATCAACCCAATAATATATCGAAAATTTTGAAGAAATTTTTTTTTGTTATAAAATAGAAAACATTTGCTCTTAGCAAACATTTTCTTGACAAGTGCTTCACAACTATGTTCTCATTGTCATCATTAAAATACTTTTACATATTATGTATTTTATTATTTTATTTGAAGTATTTATATTTTATATTATATTGAAAGAATATTATATTAAGTATCTAAAAGATTACAAGATTTTATTTCAAATATTTCAGTGCTTCATTGCTTTACTGTACAAACCCAATAATATGTCGAATTTTTCGAGAAAATTTTTACCAATCATTCTATCAAGTTGTACCTGTAGAAAAACGAGAATCTGTTACTTAAAACTAATTCTCTATATATCTTCTATATGTCTTCTCATTAACGTTACCTCTCTCAATTCTTGTACTTGTACTTGTAGATTGTTTCTCAGACTGCGTGATACAAGCACACGAGGATCCACATCAGGCTCGTGAGATATAGTGACACTAATACGGATGCTTTCAGTTGGTAAAGAAATCATACAGCTACTGAATATACCTAGCTGACTGTCATGCAAATTCTTATGACAAGAAAGTACAATCCAACCCATAAATTCCGACAAACGTTGCACACACAAAATTTTATGAATACTTATTAAATTTCTCAAAACATCACGTAACTCGATGGGATCTTTCAAATTGCGATATACTTCGCCGCTTATGTAAATACATTTGATAGTACCTTCCATAATTTCTATTGAAACTGCACTGTTCACAAGACCTTCGTAACTGAAATCGAATTTTGTAGTTTTTTTTTACCCCTATCTACCTTCCATTACTTACCCTTGTATTATGAGTTGAAGCTTGAAGCAAACTTTAGTAACATCACTGAAAGGCATCAAGTGCAATATCATTTGTGTATCTGTGGTTTCTCTACTCCACTCATCGAATAAAGATTTTATACGTTGAACCAAGTAAATATTTTTCGCGTACATAATAAATTTTTCCAAAAAAGATTTCTCTTGCTTTTTCTGCACGAATTCACCTCTGAAGGCACTAGGACCAGCCAGAAATTCCTGTTCATTAGCACTAAATGGAGCACTTGCAGGATGAGGCATTACGACACGTTCATTTTTCAAAATTTCTTTTAATATAAGTTGTTGCAATGAACTCTTAAGTATGCAATCGTAATAACTCGATAGGCAGCATTCCTTCATATCATAGTTGTGTGCTTCACAAAGTGTTATGATTAACTGAACGCCAGGATGTATAGTCAGTAAAATTATATTGTCCATTACCAAATGTGGTGTAACTGCGGTAAGAGTTACTGTTTCAGATGCCAAATAATCGAAGAGTTCGCGAGAGGTAAGCACGTTTTGTGCCTGTTGTAGAGTTTTTTCCCATTCTTCGCCCTATAGATACGATAAATGCATTATTGATTTATCGTTGAATTTATTAAGAAAATATATACTAACCTCTACGTTGTCCTCTTGAGGTACTACATTATTTAATGCAGTTCTAAAGCAGTCCACATATTCATGTGTTATTTGTATATGCAGATATGCCACGCCCATCAATTCAGGTGGTAATATAACTTTTAAATTAGTTTCTACATTGTTAACCGCATTCTTACTGGTAGTTGGTTTGTCATCATTAATTGGTGTGACCGATTTTACAACTTCAAAAATATTTACATAATCGGAATTTTCGCTCAAAGATTTTAATCTACCAAATATTCTTTTTCCTTCGTGAAATCCACCCCAGTTATTGACTAAGCGCTGTAAGTTTTGATAATAGTTTATAGGAGTACGCTGACCTTTCAACTTAGATGCTTCAGTTTTGAAAACTTTCGATAATCTGGGAAAGTTTTGTTGTATACGTTCAAAACCATCAAATTCTTCTTTAGTTTTTGTGGTCACTATTTCATCGTCCATTGCGTCCATTATACCATCAAATGATAAATATCTTTTTTCTAACGCTACTGATAACAAATCTTTCAAGTGTACGATGTGTTGTATGGCCATTTTGAGATGTCTTAGCGCTTTCTGCTGAGAAGCCAAATATTCATTTTGTGTTCTTTCTACTGATATATCATTATTGTCATCTTCTTTTTCTAACAAATATATATCCACTAAACTAAAGCCTTTTATATTCCATTTGCTATTTAACTTACCTAAGTTGTGTGATTTCTCCGAATTATTAGTTTCTTTCTGATTATCTAATTCAACTGAATTGTTTGCATTACCTGTCTCTCCAGAAGCAACTAGACCATCTAATTGACATGACTCTAAAGTAAAAAAAGACCACTCTGAATCATCTGAATATTTTAGATCTAATATACAAGCAAATTTTTAAAAATTATCGACATCACTACAAATACCTGAATTACAATTTTTTTCCAACTCAAATGCATCTTTTGAATCTGCTATATATACGCTTTGTTCTGAATTATCACTTACAACTGAATTATTCAAATCATTGACTTGTTTCGAATCAGCTATACCCTCTGGTTTATGTAATTTTATTGACTTTAAAGATTCATCGAAATAAGTGACTGGCTTTTTAGTACTACCAGTCTCTTCACAATTAGTTAAATTATCATTTATTTTTAAATTAGTTATACCATCCAAATTATTGGACTCTGTTTTAAAAAAAGCTTCGGAATTTGAACCGACTTGAACCGAACTCAACCGATTATCGGTTTCTTGCGTATCAACGTTAGAATCAGAATTTTGAGAACTCATCGTATCTGATAAATTTTCTGAATCTATCGAATACTTGCTCAGTTCCAAATCTCTTGATGAACTCGAACAATCTGAACTATCCGGATCACTATCTTGTAATTCTTTAAGTACAAAGCGCTTCACATTTCTTTTCAAATTTCTTGCCAAAGTTATTTTACTAAAATGTTTTGTTATTTATATGTAACTATATTTATTTAATACTTCAACTTACCGATGATAATCCGTTTGAAAATTGTATATTAATTTTATACGTTTGTGTCGAGGAGGTTTCTCAATTGAAATTTTAATAGAACGCATTTTCCTTAACTGCAGTCGTGTTCTGTCGTGTCCTTCTATGACGAATGCAACTCCAATATGGTGCAAGTATAGCTTTGACAGTTTGATTTTAGTAGTAACAGTACTGTACTAAACTATGCTGACTAGATATAGTTGTCTCCTTCTGTACTAAAATGAGTTAGCTGTGATTGGTTAGCAGCACTGTTGCTATATATAACACAAGAGTTTCAATTTTAATGTTTTCAAAATAACTTCTATAAAGCAGTTTATATACTCAAATATAGAAAAAAATATAGGAACTGTTTTAGATTTAGTTCTAAAAAAGGTAAAAAAGTAAAAAGAACATATTTTAAAAACGAGTACACAATTGATATAATATAAACATGGTTGATAAAAACTATTTTGCATATAATATGTTATGGATTTATTGAAAGTATGACAATAATAAGTTCTTGATCAAATAAAAGTATAATTTATATTCTAAATCTCAATCTTAAAATCAATTTAACCTTTATTCAAGTGCTTTACGAGCTTATAATCTAGGGCATAATCACTGGCTGTCATTAGTGCATTGTAACCTATTGACACTATTGCAGTATTCAGCTATTTAAAGCACTACCTTTAGTATAGTCTACTTTAGTATAAACGAAATGTTATATACTGAAACACTCAGTATATAAAAACCTATTTCTTTCAACATAGACAACAATCTTTTTATCCTTCCTGGCAAATATATTTCACAAAAAATAGTCTAAACATTTTATATCATATTATATAGTATATTGACTTTTATATTGTATATTATCAAATAAGAATTACAAATATTAAAAATTACAAAATCAAGTCCATTGAGCACATATGTTGGAGAAACTCTGTAATAGAACGCGCATTATCAAGCAATTTGTTATCGCTAAGATAAGGATTATCATAGTTTAAGAGCTCTCGCAGGGATAGCATAATATAGGGAACTTTAAGTACGTATTCAATACTTTTCTTTTGATACAAATTATACTTTAGTTGACACTTTATTTCGATTCTAAATTGGTATAAAAAAAATGACTTATTTCCTTACCAATACAATACCATACTATGTGTTAACAGTCTATCAGACTGTTAATCGGTGAAGACGAGAGACCTAACAAATTATCTAAATTCGGCAAGATGGATTTAGTCTCTACTCTTGTATACTAGGGGTTCTTGCGAGGAATGTGGTAGCAAAACGGCGAAGAATCGTTCATTTGAGGTATATGAAAGTTATCCAATAACCTGACACTCCAACCAACCATGTGTTGACATTTAACACTATGGATATGGCAACTATATAGAATATATTTCATAAATTATATTATCTTGTGATTAGTAAACTTAAACGTTTCGGCTATTTGTTGATTTAAACTAATGCATTTTTTAAGAATAACTAATTTTGCATTTATAAATAATATCAATTAATAGTTTCTAACCTGCATATAAAGTTGCTCTTAAAAGTACTCATATACGTAAGCACCTATATTTTTGAAGTACTCATTCATGTACAAGTATTTTTATAAAGTACTTATATGAATGAGTACGGATACTTCAGAAGTAGTCATGTCAGTACAAGTATAAAATTCCTTTTAAATGTACTCATATAAGTAAGATTCAATACCAATGAATTACTCATGTGAGTACAAAGTACTTTTTAAAGGTATACATTGTATAAGTAGATATACTACCAAAGTACTTACACAAGTACAAGTCCAAAGAACTTATAAAAGTAATCATATGAGTAAGTACCGATACTTTTAAGTATCTTACAATACTAACTCTATAGTGTAAATTATCTAAAATATGTTTTTTATATGTAAATCACACTTTTCAGTAATAATTTTTCTCAAATAAATTTTATAAATATTTTAACTTTAATATACTAACTTATTCGAAAAAAGTTTTAATTAAAATGAATTTAATAAATTTATTAATGTCAAATTGTATAACTATAAAATCCTTAAAAAATTTATTATAACTTTTAAATGTTTTTATATTAATGTTTTTGATAATCACACATTTCACTATTTTTCATATTTTAAATATTTTCAAATATTTTGTCTTATATAGCGTTTACACTGGCCGCAAATGACTCATTTTAAATCAGTCATTTGAAGGTGTTTACATTCATTGTTACTCATTTCATTTCTCATTTCAAACAGCTGATTTTTCAACGTGGCTGTTGATTTGTTTTTGTCCTATGCCAAAACAATGGAGGTAAAATATATCTTTAAACCATACAATATAAACTGAAAAGTTATTTTTAGCTTCGATTTTTTTGGGAAATATAAGTTCCAAAAAAGGTGCGTCGTTTTCAAGGAAATGTAACCACCAAATATATGTTCACCTTTGTAAATATGTCAAAAATAGCTTTCTGAAACTGTCAAAATGCCATGAAAAACTATTATTTAGGAAACTCATTTGAAAGTCATTGGAACTCATTTATACAAAATGAGATCCATCGCGAGTGTGAATCTCATTTGCGCATATGAATTTTGTTTGCAGAAATTAGTCATTTGGTTCTTACTTGTGATTTTTGTTCCAAATCAGTCATTTGAGGTCAGTGTAAACGCTATATTAACTTTTCAAATAAATATTTTCTTATTAGCAATTTATAAGTTATTAAAATAATTTATTCATTTTACAACAAAATGAAAAATTATTTGGTTATTCTTTTCACTATTATTTATTTAATTGAGAATCAAAACTTATTTAATAAATTTTGTGATAAATAAAATTTTAATTAATTTTTATTTTTTTTTTTGTATTTTTATTCAAAATAAATAACAATTATATGAATATTTTACCATTATTATTATTCAAATTTTTAACCATTAAGACCATTTAAATTTTGATTTATAATCAAAACTTCAACTTTTTGATCAATTTTAATAAAAGAAAAAGTTATTAATAATAAATAATAATAAGTTAATAATAATAATTTTGAACTTTCAACCATTACTATTTTATGAACTTTTAACCATTTAAGTATACAATCAGAACTTATATAAATAATGTTTGCAACATTTATTAATTTAAATTAAAAAATTTATTTCAAATAAATAATAATAATTTTGAATTTTTAACCATTATTATTTAATGAACTTTTAAGTATTACTATTACTCAAATTTTTCACTTTTTATGCTTTTAATCGTAACTTATTTAATTAGTTTTTTGAACACTTATCAATTTGATTTAAAAAATTTATTTAAAATAAATAATAATAATTCGGATTCGAATAGCAAAGAAAAGACAACAACAAACATTTTAATTAATTTATTGAAATTTGGCTGACCATACAACGCTCTTTCGAGTATTGCCAAGTACTCATCATCATTGGTTTAGGACCAGTGTCTTCAATAAATTAACTAAAATTTTTGTCTTTGACTTTTCTTTGCTATTCGAATACGTTTAACTTTTAAATAGTTTCTTTTTGTCATAAAGAGGCGTCACTCTCGACAAGAACTCTCAACCATTATTATTTTATGAACTTTTGATCATTTAAGTTTACAGTCAGATTTTATTTAAATACTTTTTTTGATCATTTACAAATTTGAATTAAAAAATTTATTTCAAATTAATAATAATTTTATGAATTTTTGAAGATTATAATTTTATGAATTTTTAACCATTTAAGTTTATAATTAGTACTGATTTAAATAATTATTTGATAATTTATAAATTTTCTACAAATTTTGAGTAGATATTTTTGCTATTTATGCTTCTCTGCTATTTGCATCATTTTTAATTAATCAATTTTTCTAAAGGCATCTTTGCAACTTTGCTAGTAAAAAATTTTGCTTGTATTTAACGCTTTTTCTTTAGAAATATAAATTGATTAAAAATTTTAGTATTAATGAAAGTTTAAAAAATTAATTTTATTTTATCTTCAAACGCGTCAAGGTAAGCTCAAGTTTTAGGCGCATTAAAATCCGTGTCAAAACGAAAAGCGTCCGTCAAATTCATGCCTTTAGATGAAATTTTAAGTCAAGAAAAAAAAGCTAACTTAATGAAAATCATTAAAAGTTTGACTTAAAAATATTGAAATAACAGTTTTGAGAAAATGTTTGTAAACTGTCTTTATACCATTTTCGCTGACTGTAGTTTGTGCCTCAAAAAAATGAAGTGGAAGACTAGTAAAAATACAAAAATAACCAAAAAGTCATTCAATGCTTTCATAAAACAAATCTCTAAATCCGATCAGAGTAGTCAAACAAACACATCAACACTGAAGACACAAAACATGAACTGAACCGAAAACACAAAACCACAACACGAACTTTACACAAATGAAGCAGACACTAACCGCATTTAGTAAACACAATTTATTTACACAAAATTGTACACAAAAGTGTGGTCTTTGGAATATTTTTGGATTTTTGTTTTGATGTGCCAAAGTTGGCAAAGTAAATAAATATATTAATATAAATATTTAATATATATTGAAGAAGTTATAATTAAACAGGTTTTAAATAATCTAATTAAATGAAATATTTAATATAATTAAACAAAAAAAAAGTCTTTGTTATATAGCTTACAAAACTATTAATTACATAGGGAATATCACCTATGTAGTGCTAAGAACAAAAATCATGATCAGTATAAAAATTATTTTACAAATTAATTCCACTATTATTATTATTAATCAGGTAAAAGTTATTAAAAACTGATATGAAGGAAAAATGCATATTAATGATTATAGGAGTTTATAAGAACACTCACAGATTTGGATCAATACCTATATGATACCTGAGAGACTACAGCTATTAACATAAAATGGAAGTTCTTGAATATTTTACAAATACAAGAAAAATTGAGGTCAGATAATCTCAGTTTATATATTATTTCACCATAGGGCAATTATTATGTAGAGCGTCTCAGGCACGGCAAAACTGTCACATCAGTATTGCCAATTTCGTATTTTTACTCCTTTTTGGTACTTTTTGTTTGTGCATAAATTTAAAAGGAAATGTAGATATGCTCACTTTCAATTTGCCACCAAAAATAACCAGGAAGAAAAACTTCATAGAGGTTCTAACAATGTTAATTTATTATTATATTACCTTATAATAATTATAATAATAATAATGATACTTACAAAATTATACGCGCCTATCCTTAAAATCAGAAAGTGTGATAATTATATTATCAGCGGTTTATAAAATAAGCTGCATTGTTTACTGGCATTTTTTCTTCAAAACTTACTGAAATAGGAGTAATTTGCATCTACAAAACGCAAATTCTGAAGTTTATTACTGAACAACTCTGCTTTGCTTTAGTGCCGATGCACAAATACTCCGGCTCTCATACCGGAATTTGAGCCGACATTTTGTTTTTTCCCTCAAAAGCAAATTTACTCATGTCGCGCCCAAGACATTCGACATAACAGGGTCCATAATAATATACAGTAATACCCGTTATAACGCGGTAGCTTGGTTTCGCGTTGTAGGAAAACGCGTTATAAGGGTATTCCCGTATACATACGTACAAAAGTACATGAAGCTAATTATGAACTGTACAAATCCCCGCGTTATGTGGGGGAATGCCCGTGTTATACGGAGGATTAAAATTATGTAAAATGAAAACGTGTTATGACGAGAATTCCTGTATTTTCTTAATGGTCCGATTTATGAAATACTTATGCTAAATATTGAAATATCGATTAAATCTCAAATAATCAAAATATCCAAATCTTTCAAAAGAGTTGAATGTTATATGAATAAAAAGGTTAATGGAATGAAAATTAATACATCGTACTGATTTTTGAATAAAAAACTGTAATAAATTTATTTATAATAATTTTTGAAATTTATTAAACATTTAAAATAAATTTCCAAAAGTATTCTTTATATGTTAACAAAAAAACACACAATACATTTTTCGATAGGTTCACATAAACTTAGGCTACACAAAGTACTAAGCACATGAGACCGAACTAACTAACATTACAGAATACTGTTATTAACATTGCTGTTACATGTAATCGTTACATTTAAACAATTCTATGTGCTTAGTAATAAAAAATGATCGTTTGAAAAGAAAAAACGAAACTGCTTTCTCATGGCGTAAATTTTTTCGTTTTCACTTTTGCTTTCTCTTTCTTTTTGGTTTTGTTTTGTTTTTGCAACAAAAAATGCATCTCTCACAGGTACTAAACTATTGTCCGAAAGATATGAAGGCTGATATATGTGTTCATCTAAATCGCAAAGTATTTAACGAGCATCCAGCATTTCGTCTTGCATCGGATGGTTGTCTCCGTGCACTGGCAATGCATTTCATGATGTCACATTCGGCGCCTGGAGATCTGCTCTATCATACCGGTGAGAGTATAGATAGTTTATGTTTCATTGTCACTGGCAGTTTGGAAGTAATACAAGATGATGAAGTTGTGGCTATATTGGGTAAGTTTTTATTATTCTACATATATATCATCATATTGAATAATTAATAATATTATTATTAATTAACTATATATACAATTTCCATGAATTTCTTATATCGTTAGGCAAGGGTGACGTCTTCGGTGACCAATTCTGGAAGGATTCGGCGGTCGGCCAAAGTGCGGCCAATGTTCGCGCCCTAACCTACTGTGATTTGCATGCCATCAAACGTGATAAATTGCTCGAAGTCCTCGATTTTTATTCTGCATTTGCGAATAGTTTTGCACGCAATCTGGTGCTTACATATAATTTAAGACATCGACTGATTTTTCGCAAGGTGGCCGATGTGAAGCGCGAAAAAGAATTGGCCGAAAGGCGTAAGAATGAGCCACAATTGCCTCAGAACCAAGATCATTTAGTACGTAAAATATTTTCAAAATTTCGTCGTACGCCTCAAGTGCAAACTGGTTCTAAAGAAATTGTCTCCGGTCAGAGCGATGTCGAAAAAGGTGACGGTGATGTCGATCGAACGAAGGTGAGTTCCTTTGTCTATGTTTATGTGTGTATCTCTTAATTATGTTTTATTATTGATGGTTGTTGTGTGATTTTTTTTACTTATTATATATCTGCATTTTTGTTAAAAAAATGCTTTTTCATGTGTGTTAAAAGTAAATATTATTATTGTGTATTTATTAAATAAACAGTTCGGTGTTTTAAAATAGCGCAAAATATAAGAAAAGGTTTGATGTTGCTTAAAATTGTTATAAATATTATTTAATAAAAATAAAATAATTTTTAAATTTTAAAATATTATAACAGAAATTCTTGTATGTTAATTGTTTTTAATGCCAAAATAATTGGTAATGTTTAAAGCATAAAAAATTAAATAACATAGAGTAAACATAGAAGAAAAACATAGATAAAAAAATAACATAGAAACTTTTGAAACAATTCTTATATGTTAGAATTTTGAATTAAAAATGTTTTTACTCAAAATAATATATAATGTTCTTCAATAGCTGATTTTATCAGTGAGAAAGTGGTTGATTTCAATTATTATGACAACGTCCAAGTGTATATTGATGAAAGTCCCATTATATGGGTAAGCGATTCTTTAACTTACTCATCTTCATCGCCCTACCATCAGTCAATTGCTCGTATTCATCAATACGTCAGACTCTATATGAAATTTCCAAAATTCTCCACATAATTAATAGAAAGCAAAAACGTTTTCTAACTTAAAGGTCGGACCCTTCCAAATTAGTTAGAAAGCGTTTTTGATCGCTTTTAATTGTGTGGATAGGGTTGAGTATTCTACATACTTCTACCCTTTAAATGTGATTACCTAAAAGTCCTCAATTTAATTATTTTTCAAAACATACAAGAATTTCTTAATGCATTTGTGTTATTGTTGTTGTTGTTTCTAGGATAATATTAATAAATTGATAAATGTTTTACCTTTAAAAATGTATGTATTATACCTATATTATATATATGTGATATTAAAAATGAATTGTACTTATGCTCGTTGTCTTTTGTCTCTCTTCTCCTACTTTCTTCTCTTTCTCTATTACTATACACCTGCTTCATGCTTTTTCTTTTGTAAAATATCATTTTCCTGGCTTGTATTGTCTATGTAAATCATTAAAAATGCTATTTATTTTAATTAACTTAAAATTTTAATTAATCGAAATCTATATATAAAAATTTTATATTAATTAAATTAAATCAAAACACACAAAATTATACTAACAAAAAAATTTCCTTCTCTCATTTTAAATTCCTAAAACCATACCATCCTCTTCTCATGTTTTTTTATAATTTTCAAATGCTTTATCCTTTTATTATTTTGATAAAAAAAAAATCCTATAATATCGCATTTGACAACATTTAAAGAAGTTACCTGCCAAATTAACATTAACCGAGGACTCACGCATCCTTTCAACCGCTGCCGTACCTTCACCAACGCCATCACCCTCGCCCTCATCGGGTCCACCATCTGCACGTAGTACCCGTGCTAGTAAATGGGGACGACTTTTGGGTAGTTCAAGTGTCGATTCAGCTAGCGATACTAGCGCGAAGGTAGCAGTTTCGAGAAGTTTGAGCGCCCGCGAAAGTCTGCGGGAGAGCACTGCCCAAGCGAGGCAGAGCAGTACTTCGAGTAGTAATGGTGGACAAGGCAATAAAGTAATTAGCACAATTACTTATAATTTTATTTCCACTTAATTTTATTGTTTTTTTTAAAATAAGTTAATTATCTTATTTAATTAATATTGGTAATGTTAAATAAAATCGTGTCAATTTATTTTAATTGTTTTATGTGGTAAAAATAGATTGTGTTCTTTTTTTGTTCATATTTTTTGTAATTATTTTAAAATAAACTAAACAATTTCAATTATTTATTAACCCAAATTAAAAAAATTAAAGTGTTTGTTTATATTGTTTAGTTTTAACATACTTATGTGTTTAACAAATGTATATTTTGTGTTATTTAGTAATCCCCTGACATTAAAAAAATATTTCGTATTTCTGTTCAAGAGACGAACAGGTATTAAGCAAATGAGGATAGGCTAATGAGATAGTTACTTGTTAGCAATAATGTTTGGAACCTTACTTAACCTAATAAAAAAACATCTTTAAGCTCGTAGCTTGTGTAACCTATCACGGGTTACTTGCAGTACATGCTCTTAGGCTGGGAGCCCCTGCAATGTGAAATGCAAAAGTTATAAAGAGAAGAAGAAAAAGAACAGTTGAACACTTCTTCTATAGCTGTCTCGCTTTAGCTATATAAAGGGCAAATTTATTAGGCAAACATTTCCTTAAAGCTCTCTCAGAAGTGTCCAGTACTAAGATGCAAAACATTCTGCTCTTAATAAAAACATCAAAAAGGTTCCATAAGTAACATGGTTAAAATCCTATATTGACCTAATATATCTGTTATAGTGGTATCAAAATAAAGTCACATAATAAGTTCAATTAATTTATTTAATTATTAAATTAAATTAATTTAAAAATTTCTGCTTTGACCCAGCTGAGTACTGAACTTAAGTCTCAGTTTTGCTAATTTAGACCTACAATTTGTAGAAAACTAAATCATTTGTCGTCAATTTAAATACTTGCAATATTTTTAAATGTTGCAGATTTTACGCCAAATTGAAAAAACATTCAGCTATTTGTAGTGATTGTATTATTCGAATACCAAGATATATGTATAGATTACTCATATAACTTCTAGTAAATATAAAAGCTTAAAAATAATGACATCCTTGAGTATTTAAAAAATCTCAATATACTTTCTAACTAAATCAGGATCCTTAATAAAAGCAAGATAAATTTAAATAATAATAATAAAAAATACAGTAGCATTTAAAATTATTTTTAGTGAAACCATTCCAGTTAATATTAGATAGGTGGTTGTAACGGTTATTGTCGAGAGCTGTCTAGGCCTATGGAATATAAAAGTTTCTAGTAAAAATCAATCCCATAGCTAGACATATATTTTTGTGCCTCTATAAGTTCATCAAAACAAAACATATCTATCCTCAGAAGGTCTTAATACTCAATGTTTCTTCATGCTAGATATATAGTCCGAGAATACATTTAATTATAGAGTTATATCTTTGTATTTCGTGTGTTAATTATTAAAATCTTTTATTGCTAGAATTTTAAGGAATCCTATTTATCAATAAATACTTTTTATATCAGTTTTTAAATTTTGTTTATTGATTTTTTATTATAATTTCTTTGAATATTCTTTGAATTTTGTTAATTTCAAATGCAATTCCTTTTTTAAACACTTGAAAATATTATAAATCTGAAACTAAATAAAATTATTTTACCTTTCCTATATTAAATGCTAACGTACTGTTCAATAAATATATTTCTATGGATTTGGCTGCATCAATTAAAATAAAATTCGAATAAAAACCAAATTGGAAACAAAATCACTATTGGCAACATGCACTCTTGGAATGCCGCAACAATTATATTTTCTTCACAACTTTAAAACCCAAAATCACTTTACATTTTGCCTATCCAATTCCCCGTTTTATATTTTTTCACTATGTTTCACTTTCTCTTTCTTTCCTATCCACTTAAATTTTGAACAATATGAATTTAGGTTTTTCCCAAAGCACCTAAGTTACAAGCAAGTCAAGCCACGCTTGCACGTCAAGATACCATCGATGAAGGCGGTGAGGTTGATTCTTCGCCACCTAGTCGGGAAAGTCGTCTAGTTATCGAAGGCAGTAGCGGTGCAGTTGGTTCGGTTGCACATTCAATCAAGGAACGAAATCTTGCATTAGAGCGTGAACGTCAAATCGAAATGGCTTCATCACGTGCCACTACCTCCGATACCTACGACACTGGACTGCGTGAACAACCTCCCACACTGGCTCAACGTGACCTTATAGCGACAGTGCTCGATTTAAAAGTTGATGTACGACTCGAAATGCAACGTATGCAACAACGTATCGGTCGTATAGAAGACCTATTAAATGAACTGATTAAACGTTTGCAACAGGATTCATCAGGTCAAACAACACCTGGTGATGAAATGGGTGGCGATACTGGACAAGGAGGACCAGGTGGACAAGGCGGTGGAGGTGGTCACGGTGGACAGCATGGTGGTAGTGCGAGTACAACTACAGATACTGTGATAACAATTGCAACGGTACCGCCCACACCAACCATGTCTAGCGGTGGAATTAATACAGCTTCGACGTCCACAACTTCAGCAAACACTGGCAATAATAATAGCAGTGCCACGCCCACACAATCGCTGAATTTGCTAAATCCCGCACAGATGGTGTCCGGTTCGGGAGGCAACGGCCTGGGGCCACTGATGCTCAAGAAACGACGTTCGAAGAGCAGGAAAGCACCGGCGCCTCCCAAACAGACACATGCACAGCAAAGTTCCGCAACCGCTGGTATTGCTGCAACAACTTCGCATATTGCACAAAGTGTTGAACAACAAAGATTGCTCGATCCAGAAACAACAACAACAGCAGCAACAATTAGCAGTGCATCACCAGTAGCCACAACAACTGCAACAAGTAAGTGATTATAATATAATTAATAATGAATTATTATATTAATAAATAAATAATTATTAACTAATATTTATAATTATTAAAATTATTTAATAATTATTAATATATTAATAAATAATTCTTCATTTAATAATTTAATGTTATTATATTAATAAATTAATAATTATAAATTAGTATTTATAATTAATAAAATTATTTAACTATTATTAAATTTAAATTAAATTATTTATTTAATTATTAATATAATATTTATTATATTATAAATATTATATATTATATATATTATATAATATATATAATAATATTATATAATATTATATATTATAATATTATTATATATATTAAAAATATAATAATAATATTTATTATTAATATATTTAAATTATTTAATTATTAATATATTAAAATAAAAATAAAATCAGAAATAATTTTTTGTTTGTGTAATGTATATTAAAAATTTATAAAACATAATAAAATACATAAATTAGTGATCATTAATTTATTAACATATTAATAAATAATTAGATATTAAGTAATTATCAGCTTTATTAATATATTAATAAAGTCTAATTACTAAAAATAAAATCTAAATTAATTTTTTATTTGTGTGATGTTTATACAAAAATATATATAATATAATAAAATATAAAATTTAAAAATTATTAATAATTAAAAAATTAATAATTAATAATTAAATAATAATTAAATAATAAAATTAATAATTAAAAATTATAATAATCATAATTATCAATTACTAATTAAATTATAAACATACTGAATAATTATATATTTAATAATTATTAACTTTATTAATATACTAACAAAATCTAATTACTAAAAATAAAATCAGATTTAATTTTTTGTTTGTGTGATGTATTATAATGTTATATATAAATATGTTACTTATAATATAATATCAATTGTGTTAATTATCATAAATAACTGTCTTCATTATCTTTACTTTTATGTTAACTAAAATTTTAGATTCCTTCTAGTTACGTTTATAGTTTATATTCACAAATTACTTATTTTATTTTTTAATTCCATTGGTTTTTAAAAATGAAATGAAAGAAAAATAATATAAATACACCCAAATATATAAATTTTATTTAATTTATTAAAACTTATTAATTTTATTATATTTTGTTATTAAATTTAAATATAACTCATGAGTGTTTCTATAACAATGTTTTATACTCTCTAATATAGTATGTTTTCTGCTTCTCCTCCTCAAATAATAATCTATAACTTATTTTATACTGCAACCAACCTACTTCAGAGTAGTAAACTATGTACATTTTTACAAGCCTATAAATATGAGTTGATATATGTTTTTATCTTGGAATTCAATTACTCATTCCAGAAGAAGAAAACGTTTTTATATGAGGGAGAGGCGCTGAGTTTAACTTGTATCTCATCAACTGAGCTCTCAGTTTTTTTATAATAAATTTTTAAAAAAAACAATAAATAATAATGTTCCTTTTATAAATAAAAGAAAAAGATTTCGTTTGATCACTATCGAATAATACTTTTGGATAACACTCTTGGAACATTCTCTTACAATTTCATCAGATTTTTAATGTCAACGTCTTTATCAGCGATTTTCACCTTGTTAGCACTTATCGATGTTTATTCGCTTTTAACCAAAAATGTTTTTCTACAAACAATACTTTCATATATAATTCATGTCTTATCTCCTTTCATTTCAATATCGACTCCTTGATGAGAACTGAATCCACTGAAGCTTTTGCACTCAGTTGATTCACACTTCGATCTTCGATCTTTTCATGATCGGCCTTATGTATGTGACTTAAAACACTGCTGTATTTGATCTGCAGTTGTTTTAGTGATAGTCTCCTTGAGTCACTTCCATAATTTTATCAATTTTTTCGATAACAGACCGACCAGAGCGAGTAGCATTCATTCACTTATATATCTAAATTTCCAGAACGAAAGTAAAAGAACCTTTTTTAAACAGTTGATTTTATTATGGTACTTATATCACAAACACTTTAGTCCTTTCATCCCCCTCAGATGCATTTTAAAATATATACAGACTTTCTCTTCAAATTTTAATCATCTTTAATTTGAAGTAACTTTTAAGACAAACGCTGATGTCTACAATATTTTTATCAATTAACTAATTTTTAATATAACCAGAAATGAAAAAAAAATTATACAGTTGTAGTCATCCAAGTTAACAAGAAACGCCGAAAACATTTTATCCAATCAAATATAATACAACAAGGCTTAGTTCACAAAAACATGTTGCTTAAATTGAATTAATTTAAAGTTAAGCATGACTTATGAGTAATCATTTATAATCTCCCTAAAATTCAAGTACCGCGCTTAGGATCAAGGATCAGTTCGTCCAAGGATCAGCCAAAAAATTCAATTAAAAAAAAAATTTTTGTTTAATGTTGATTTTAATATCTTTTCTTCTACTGGTCTTATAGTATTATACTAAAAATAAAAGTAATTACTTATTCCCAACTCCGTTTTTTTATATCTATTTTTTTTTTTTGCTCCACTCATTATCTTTTGGATCTTTATATATATTATATTCTCTATTTGGTGCATATTAATCACTTCTTTTAGTTCAAATACAAATTTATTAATACTTACCTTATACTTCCTTGAAATCTAAGCTAATCTCTGCAATAGCTTTCTCATCCGTCACATATATAATAGATAATATTGTAATAAAACACGTTTTTCATAATATAGGTGGTTGCAGCAGTATTAGCGGTGCAGGCGGTGGTGCTGGTAGTACTTCAAGTGGGAGTGGCAGTGGCGGCGGTGGTGGGCGCTCTAAGCGAGAGTTTCTATAGCCCAAGATTCTGGTACGCCATCAGTCGGACAATAGCAGTTTCGAGCAATAACTTGATTGAAAATAAACAAGGCGTGGCTTCTGCAAATTATGCTGCATTTACAGGGTGCTCTTGCTGTTGCTGATGGCGTGCTGCTGCTATTATAATTAATTTATTTATTATTCTCTGTAAATTATTAAATATAAGCTGCGTAAATGTTTTTAGTAATTTTACAATTAAAATATTATACATATATGGTAAAAACCTGATATTTAGTTATATGTATTTAAATTATATATATAAATATTCAAGCTGATAAACTGATTACAAAGAAGCATATTGCTTACGAATTTGCTAATTAAAACTGAAATAATTATATATAGCATTATTTATAAAACAAAACAAAACAAAACAAAAAGATCTTTTTAAAACTTGTGATAAATTAATTACATAAATAATTAGAAATTAATTAAACACTGACAAAGACATATACTTGTAGATACACATTTAATGAAATTTTGATGATAATTTAAAATTAAAACAATTGAAGGAATCAGGAATCTGACAAAATTAGCACATATATCGTATATATGAACTCATATAAAGAATATTGTATATTTATGTAAATAATTCTTTGTTATATAAAACTATTAGAATCTTATACATAATGTAAAATACTTGATACGAAATATGCAATATGTAAATTAGAAAGTAAATTAAATTTATTAAGAGTTTATCTATATATATTTAGTCCACTTATGTGAAAAAAAGTTAATAGTATTTTAAAATAATTTGTTTATTTAATTTACTTTCTCATTGTACTTTTTATTTGTAATGTTAAATATTTATTATTATTAGTTTTAAAATTGAAGATAACTTTATTTCTGCTAACTAATATATCACTTAACACTCTCCATACAATATTTTTAGATTGAAAATGCTTTAAATATTTTTGCTTGAATTTTGAAATTTTATTTGCAATGTATGGGGAAATAATATTTATTTAAAAAAATCACTGTGCCTCTAAATAATCTACAAATACTTAAATAAGTTACTAATAATCAGTAATGGCAGCTATTTTTTTCGACTGAAACTGCTAAAACCTTTCTAGCGTCAATTTTTTTTCAGCTTAAATATAACTAAAACTAAACTATAAATTGTTCAGAAAAAGATAAATGAATAGAATGGACAAATAGCGCTTAAATTCTTTATAAAATGGAAGCAATAGTTTGAGTAAAAGTATATACTCGAATAAAATATATAAACTTATATATAATAAGTTAAATATTGCCTAAAAAGTTAAAAAAAGACAAGAACACAAGAAAAAATTTGAGCTAGTATATGTATGTACATAAAATTATCTATAAAGTTAATTATATATTTTTTATATTTTCGAATTGCCTTTTAGAACAGATCAACTGATAAGAATTGTTAAATATTCATAAAATATTCATAAAATATTCTTAAAATATTTGTAAAGTATTCGTAAAGTATGCGTAAAATATTCGTAAAATATTCATAAAATATTCCTTAAATATTAATAACTCATCATTACAGATCTTCTCGAACTTACAGAATACTGATACGTATGTGTTATTAATTTGCGTATGTGTATGGAAAATTAGATCTTTAATTTTGTAGATCATTTTGTTTTTGTGAATTTGTGCAACGTTTAACATTTTATGACAGTACTAAGTATATGACATTATCGTATTATCATTGGAGTCTGATATGTTATTACATCTATTAATACCATAAACTCTGGGCTGTTGTAGCATTTAAAATAATTCATATATGTAATATATATTTCATAGTAATATCAATGTTTATTCTCTAACTCACAAAAAGTTATAACATATAAAATTATATATATCACAGTTTTATTTTTATATACACAGAAGACAAACAACATTTCATATTCACATTGATAGTGTTCATCGAGACCACATTCACAGTCCTTGTTAAGAACCGTTAAATTAAAAGAAATAATTCTGGGAAAAGCTGCTTCAATCACTGAATCTGATTATTTATACCAAATTGTTATAAAAAGTGTTGGCAATATTCCGATTTGCCTGGTACGCCTAAATCACAACAGATTTTAGTTAAATCTACTGTCTAATAACTTCTCATACTGTCAATATAACCCAGTTTTCAAAATATCTGACTTTTGTTTGAAGATTTATACTTGAAAACCAAGAAGAAACTTCAAGAAGTAAGATATATTGGCATATAGCGCTGTGTAAAAGTTGCTCGAAATAACTGATCTGCTATAATCCATTACCAAATGGACGTATCCGGGATATTGGTAAAGCGATAGAATTTCGTACAGTATTCTCTATATTTTTTAATATAAACCATCAAAAAGGCCATTAACAAATTTTTTACAAAACTTTTACATTTAAGAATATAGTTTTGATAACAACTGTTTTAAGAGTTCTATAAATTTAATCCAGAAATACAGGAAGTAATTACATATAATATAAGAGAGCATACTAGGTGAGTGCAGAAAAAGCAAGAAGGAAATAGAAATACATATATCCTAAAAAACAAGGAGCTTATTTTACAATTATATGGAAGGTACACAGTTGGAAGCTGAATATAGCAGAAAACAGAATATAAACCCTCGTGGGATATGAAGACAGTTAGAAATATTAACCGAACTATTAACCTATAGCACATGAAGCTTAGTAAGGAGTCAATAAACAATATGATGAAGAAAAGCTTAAATATTTGGTATAATGACAAAAATGATAACCTGGTAAGTCAGATAAAACTTAATTGCCATTTACATTTTAATTAATTAAATATCATGTTATAGAAGAATATGATATTCATTTTCTTATATATATTACTTTCTTTTTTTTTTATTTCATTTTTATTTTAAGTTTTTTTTAATTCATGTAATGATATTATTTTAAATAATATAGACATTTTTTATTGGTTTCAACATTTTCGAAGCTGTGCTTTACTAACTAAATATAATATATTCGTATATATATTAGTGCATATTAACAATCTTTTTATCAATATTTTCAAGATGTTTCACTATGAGCTAGTAAAAGTTAATAAAGATGACTATGGATCAGTCGATAGAATATATTTCCGAAATTAATTTTCTGTGCTTAAGTCAAAGATCATAAATTAATATTTTCAATTCTTATATAGCCTTTTATGTTTGCATTAGAAATAATCTGTACTGACATCCTAGTACTTCAGAGAATAGTTTGGTGAAGATTGGAAGGAAAGGCTTGGAAGGAAATTAATTGTTACAATCAAAGTATCTCTTTATCTCGGAAAATACTTTTTTTTTTAATAAGAAAACTTTTACTTCTTTGACAGATTTTTTCTTCCTGCCAGTTTTTCTGAGATGTTACAGACTGTTTTCATGTCTTGGATCTGTACTACTGCTTTTCTATAACATCCCTGTCTAATTAGAATAGTCTACTTAACTGATCTATACTATCTCTATTTTCAGAAACCTCAGACAGTAGAACTTGGTTTATTGAATATAGATAAAGAGCACTGATCTGGTCTGGTTGTAAACTTATAATGATTGTAATCATTTAGATTTTTTTCTTTCATCTTCTACTTCATTATGAATTTTATTGGTATTGTTCGTCTATATTACCCTTGCCTAATTAGTATAGTCCACTTAACTGATCTAAACTGTCTCTATTTTTAGAAATCTCAGACAGTAGAACTTGGTTTATTAAATGTGGATGATAAGTACTTGTAGGGTCTGGTCGTAAAACTTATAATGATCTTAATCAGTTAGAATTTTTTTTATCCTTTTCCACTTCTTTATAAATTTTTGATCCTTTTTCGGTTTAGCATATAAGAAAATTGGATTACTTGATACATTATATTGTTAGCATATAACAAAATTTTATTCTATAAAATTGTTTTGTGGAAAATGCAATTTTGGGTAGTGCTAGATATATGCATATATAATTACAGCGGATAGATATGAATATACATATATTAAAATTATGGCATATTTTGAACTTGTGGAATATTATATTTGTATAATAAAAACATTTTATACAAATTGTAGTTTAATTTATTATTAAAAGAAAAAAATGAAATGCTTCAATATATTAAAACTGCTATAGCCATAAATAAATAAAAATAAATTAATTCAAATATGTACTGAAAACACATCAAAATTGTACAGTATATATTAAAAGTAATACTAATGTATTAACTGCCACAAAATAGTAAATTTACGACAAACAAAAAAAAAACTAAATAGTATAAATAGTTTAATATGGCAAAATTTTATTTAAAACCCGTCCTTAAAAAAAAAATAAAATAAAAATTGTTGCAAATGTCCTTAAATTTCATAATATATAAAATGAATATATATGTATATATATATATTATTATTATTTATGTTTACCAAAATGAATAAATAAAACGGCTGAATTCAGAGTGCAACAAAAATGTAAATACACAATTTAATTAATTATATTAATTAAGAACAATAATAATTATTAATAATAATAATAATTAGTGCTAATAATATTTAATAATAATACTTAATAATAATGATAAAAATTAATGAAAGAAAATACAATGCATTCCAACTTTTAATTTAACGAAACGACAATCGAATATAAATATATGTAATTCTAAACAACCAATTAAATACAAATTAGTTAATTAATTTATTATGTAGAATATGATGCAAAATACAGCTTGTAAAATATTTAAATTTAACATTAATTAATTATTTAATTAAACACTTGTGATACAAATATTACTTAAAATATAATTAGGAACTTTATAAAAAAACTATTATACTTCAGCAAGAGTTAAATTAATTTATAATTTAATTAAATATTATAAAAAAATGCGAGTATACATAAATAATTGTTATTTAAATTTATAATAATTTTTAAAGTTATGGTTTCATTAAATTTTATATTATTATTAAACATAAATTTGCAACAAATCTTATTTGCAAATTACTTATGGTATAAACTATATCCTTTATTTGAATAATTTATTAATTTATAATTTTTATATAATGTATAGAATATGCAAAACTTACATATATATAATATCATATGTTAAAAATTTGAATAGTTGTGAGACACTTTAAGTAAACATATACACATATAATATAATTAAGTTTATGTAGAATAGTTTAATTATTGTAATTGTGAGTTAATTTATTTTTCATAC